AAAACATTCTGATGCAGTACGTACTGTAATAGGATCATATTGTAATTCTATCATCTCTCTATTATACTCTTATTGATATAATATTGCCATTATACGCATGTTTATTGTATAGTTACTGCTGCTATATCGCCACTCAACTGGACACCGATAAACTGTATACGCACAAATACAAAAAGAGGCATGATCATTCCATAAAATCCTATTTCCAAACTTACATAATACAACAACAGGCCACCCCATGGTTACATAATACAAAAAGAGGCCACCTCATAGTTCCATTTCCCTGCTGTTGACAAATTCGAAGTTGCATACTCTTCAAGTGCGGCGACCACGACCCATGAAATTCATGACCCCGGCCACAGTAATGGTGGCCCAGTTTCCTGCCGGATCCACTATTTTTGCAAACTTACGAAATAGTTCGAATCCCCTTTCCACTTGTTGTTGCTTCAACTTGGCCATTTCTTCTGATTCCTTGAATACCATAATTGCAGTGGCAGGAGCAATTTCAATTTTTCCTTTGATTGCCATTATATGTAGGAGATGCATGCGGGCATGATAACGAGAGCGAATTGTGCGCTTTTTTATGACATCTCATCTAGCTTGGCCCTCCACAATTTTTGAAACTATGTCTGCATGGAGATTTTTCCAAAACATGGTATTGCCTCGACATTGCTGCATGCCATGGACCAAGTCTGCAGTGAGTGAATTGGGTGACTTGGCTTCTGTTTCAGTCTCCCCTCCTTCAGTTTTTGAAAGCATTGGGTTTGGTGTGAGGTTATGGTCCATGGTCTTCGATATTTATTGTAGGCTGGTGTATGACTTAATTGGAAAAAAGGGGGACTAAATGCGATGTGAGTGAAATCAGTGGGGAAGGTAATGGCTACAAGCAGGAGTTAATGTGATGGAAGCTTTCATTTCAAACAGCTGGGTTGATTCATATAGGCAGGTTTTAATGACCTCGAGTAACAGAGAGAGTTAGTGGCGGGAGGGATTAGGGGGAGTAATTGGCGGGAGTCTTAGGCTGGATAGTATTGGGCGGAAGTTATTACCCAGTTGACTGTATGCCTTTTTGTAATATATTTCTATTTTGGATGTTTCGAACTTGGTAATTTTCCCATTATGTAATTCAAATAAGGGATTTGCCTATTTGCCTAATTGATCAACTCATTGAAATTGACCAATATGGTTATTGTCTTATTTCTCATTTCAGCAATCTCAATTCGTTTCCATTTTTCCATTATTCATATTTTTCCTATTTTCCATGTGTCATCCAATTATCCAATTTTTCATTATTTCTGCCTATTTTCCAATCTTCTAACAAAAACAAGAGTCTTTTGCAGATTTCGTTACACCCGGCCACATCTTCCGGGGTAGGCAGCTTCTCGAATTGTGCATGCTCAGCTGCTTCATGCACTTGTAAGTGAGGAACGGAAGCGACCATTTCTGCCTCTTCGACTACCATGGCTGCGGATGGTTCGGCTCCATCACCGGGGCCTTTTGTTTCCATTGCTGCCGGTTCTATATGTGGACTAACATAGTCATGTAATGGTCCTTCATTCATATGAGGACTACCGAGGTCCTCATGTCCTTCCCCACCCTCATTCAACCCACTATTTTTTTTTTTTTTTCAGCTGCTCTATCTTCAGCTTGAAATAGTGTTCCATGGAAGCTAGGGTGTTGCCAAAATCCTCCACATACTTTTTATTTTTTGCAAACTCTCTTTCACGTTTCAATGACTCCGTCCGTACAATTTCTTCCAACTCATGCACTCTCTTGCGAAGCGCTCGATTCGAACCGGCTACTTTGGCCAATTCATCCTTTGTCCTTTGAAAGTCAAGCTTCAAAGTGCGTAACTCAGTGGACGCGAGTTTACCCTGCATTAAGTTATAATGCAAATGTTACAATATTTCCAAAATATTTCCCAAATACAGCAGTTATTTTCCTATGGTATTATGACGTATATATTGGAAAAAAGGTAATGCTTGCCTTAGAAGACGACGGAAGGCTAGCAGTTTCTTCAATGTCCTCATCTTTTTCTTCTACAGAGGCAGAAGTGCTGGTTTATGGTTCATCGTCATCGCCAAACAACTCAACAAGTTCTTCAGTGTCATCAACACTGTCACCCCAACTCCAATAGGGCTGTTGCTTGTCAATTACAGATGGCCGCAGAAGTTGCACATCAACCTGCAATTTATACAGACAAAATACATATTAGGAACCCTATTATTTGAATGACAAGCATAACATTAGTATTATAAACAGAACTAACCTCTGCATTTTCAAATACTTGGCTCATTATTTCGTGAAAACGAGCCGAACTATTGATCCTCCATTGTAGTATACGAGGGACGTGGCCATTATGTTCGGGCACAACGATATGCAGTGCATCCAATGCTGGAAACACCTTAAAAGCCCATATCTATTTTCAACAATAAAATATCAATCACTGTAAACAAAGTAAATGGAACTTATACATAAATGGATATTTGCTTACCTGAAGTGCAAAGCCAAAACCTTTTATGTTGTACTCCCTTGGTCTACCACTTGCCATTGTCTTTGATTGCTTTGTTGATTTTTTTGTTTTTAAGGCTTTCTAGGGCACTTTGACTCGCTGGTACTCTGCGCACAGTGCTCTCAACAGTGAGGAATTTGTCTTCGCATATGAAACAGCACCCCATAGATACTTCAGGAACTCTTCAATGTCTTCCGCCAATTTCAAATAGCGCATGTCAATGTTGACATGTTTTTCACTACCCAACAGCACAAAAACAACGAAATATAAAAGCCCAAGCTTGAAGACGTCCTCCTCATCACCGCAGTCGATGAAGGGTTGTTCGAGTTCGGAAAGGCTGACAGTTTTATTGTTGCAGAAGTACTTCTTCTTCAATGAGCAGTTGTCATTAGTTGCAGTCGGAATGAAGGGAAGGTTTCCAAACTGCAGCCCTGTGATAACACAAAACTGCTGCACTGTGAATTGTATGACCTTGTTGCCAACGATGAATTTGATCCTGTTAACTTGGGAAACTGTCCTCGGGTCAACCTTTCTCAACAACAAGCCATGGATAATTTGTGTTGTCCACTTCAGGTCCTCAATTAGTAACAGATGGCCAAAACAACTGTCTTTGAACCTTTGTAACTGTTGCCCACTCAATTTGTCCTTAATTGTACAGATCGCCGTTTTTGTATGGAAAAGGGTCAATGCCTTTCCCTGGATTTTTTCATCCCCAGCAATCAACTTTGCTTTCGAGATCATATTTCCCTACACACCACCATTATACAAATAATTTCAAGCCTTTGAAATATACACAATTACAAGCAATAAACACACAATACATATGCATGTCATGGCAATATGCACGAGATATATCAGTGATAAACCTACAATACAGCTCCAATAGAACTTTATATGCATTTCATGTATGTTCACCAATGTCCCATGACAGAAAAAATACAAATTCATTGTACCTTCAACCCTTATATTTTCTCTCCACAAGTCTTGCTCTTATATTTTCCCATTTCCTTCTCTTATATTTTCCAATTTCCTTATGTTATATTTTCTATCCACAAGCCATGCTCTTATATTTTCTCACGTCCTTCTCTTATATTTTATCTTCAAAAGGCTTCCTACAAAATGCCGCCAATCCCATTTCATACACCTACAAGTGCAAAAAATGGGAAAACCTTTTGACTACAAAGTAACTACGGAGTGAAGTGAAGTGAAGCCTATCGTCGGATTTGACAGAAGGGGGTAATAATGACACATTGTGCAGAAAAACATCATTTTATTTGAAAGAAACAATGTAATTCGTAAGCAGTGAACAATGTGGATATCAAAGATAATTTAATCCCAATTGCCATTATTTAAACTTCAAACTAAATATGTTGTGTATTCCAGGTTGATTCAGACATTGTTACATGTCAATAAATCAAGAAGCTGCGTTACGTAACCAGAAAAAGCATGCTGAGAAATGAGAGGCATCACAAAAAACAGAAATCTAACCTCAGGGAGTCTGACAACAAAATATTTGATGTAGTCCCGTCCGCTATTCTTTACAATACTGTCCAAAAGATAAAGTTATGGTGACTTTTGCTCACTAGAAACCTGCAAATTAGTTTCTACAATTAGATACGAAACACTAGTTACATCCAATATTGTTTGAACAAATAAGTGACTGATAAACCAAAGGCCTAACACGAAAATGCTTCCCGAATGAGAAGGGAAATGGGAAGGAGAAGCTATTTCAGTATAGGCTCTTCAAATCCATTTAAAAGATAGCACAAGCAACACATCTGCAGGTACTGTAACTTCTAAACTAGCCCATTGTGCAGCAAAAACTAATATACATCCCCGATTATGGTTCTTTGCCCTTTGTTTACACATTGAATATTCATCCCCAAACTGAAATTCCAAATAATCACAAGAGAATATGAAAAACAAAGATAACTTATCCATATCCAATATGCAAGCCCTAAAGTTAGCAAACACAGTAAAAGCAAAAATATCTCAAATAAACAACCATTATTCTGAAACAAAAAGTATGATATGGTTTGGAGCATACAAGTTAAAAATGATATACAGAGGTTAATTGTCTTAGACTTTAGATATCATCTTCAAGAAAGAAAATAGATACCGATTAGACTTGTAAGAAGGTTACAAACATTGGTCATAAAGACCCATAGTAAGCCACCAAATATCAATTAATAACTGCTACAAAAACCCAGATGAGACAGAGAGGTGCCTCACGGCTCCTCATCCTCTTCAA